CTCACCTCAGCCTCCCAAAGGCGCGGGATTACAGGCTGAGCCACCGAGCCCGGCAGGTTCGTCCATTCTTATGACTCACATTTTAATATCTTAACATTTCTGAAACAGACATGCACTTTAAAAGTGATGACACTTTTACATCTCTATAGCACAGGCAACAGTTGTAGCATAGTTATCATTGCCTGTGCATGTGCAAATATATGCAAATTAGTCATACTGTTCATATATAATGATCACTTAAGTATGAGTTAGTGTATTGCCAATATTAGACATGGTCTAAATAATTTTTCTATTTAAATGTCTTCAAAAGACTACACTATAATATAGTATTGAACAAGAAGTAATTGTGCTCATAGAAAGGCAAGAAAGTAAAACAGTGTGATATATGATAAAAATCTCTAGCTAAATAAATTTAAAAGAATACTTTAAAATATAATATTAAAAGAATATTTTTGGTCAGACTCGGTGGCTCAGCCTATAATCCCAGCACTTTGGGAGGCTGAGGAGAGTGGATTGCCTGAGCCCGTGGGTTCGAGACCAGTCCGAGCAGCTTGGTGAGACCTCATCTTTACATTAAATTTAAAAAAAAAATTAGCCAGGCATGGTAGTGCACCTGTAGTTCCGGCTACTTGGAAGTCTGAAGTGGAAGGATCACCACAGCCCAGCTGGTCAAAGCTGGGGTGGCTGTGAGTGTGCCACTGGACTCCAGCCTGGGCAACAGAGTCAGACTCCAACTAAAAGAAATAAAATAAAATAATACTTTTAAATATAACATTAAAAATCTAAGTAAAGCTGGGCACAGTGGCTCACACCTGTAATTCCAGCACTTTAGGAGGCTGAAGGAGGAGACTGCTTGAGGCCAGGAGTTCGAAACTAGTCTAAGCAACATAGCAAGACCTCATCTCTATAAAAAATTAAAAATTTAGCCAGGCATGCTGGCATGTGCCTATAGTCCCAGCTACTCAGGAAGCTGAGAAAGGAGGATCGGCTATTGCTTTGCTAAACTCTGGTGTGTCCACGTGGCCATCTGAGCTACTGCTGCCATGTTTCTCAGCTTTGGCCCCCTCCCCTACCTTGGGGAGGTGAATCCCCCCCCTCTATCTTTTTATCTCCCCCCCCAATTTGCTTTCTAAATAAACTACATTTTCCTATTAAAAAAAAAAGGAGGATCACCTGAGCATAAGAGGTCGAGGCTGCAGTAAGCTGTGATCATGCTACTGCATCCCAGCCTAGGTAATAGGAACTCAACTTAAAAAAAACAATTACTGAAGGAAATTAAAGAAGATCAAAATAAATAGAGAAATATACTATTACAATATTGAAAATTTTTCAATAATATGAAAATGTTAATTCTCCCCAAAATCTATATACACAATGAAATTTCAATCAAATTCCCAATTGCTTGTATGAATATATGAAAATTGTTAAGTTAGTTCTAAATGTATATGCAAATGTAAAAAACGAAGAACAAGATGGGTAGATTAAAAGATATCTAGAAAACACATATTTTTTATGACTTCTTTTTAAAAATGTATTTATATTTTATTTTATTTTGTTTTGAGTCAGTCTCACTCTGTCGCCCAGGCTGGAGTGCAGTGGCACGCGCGTGGCCACCACAGCCTCGACCTGCTGTGCTCAGGTGATTCTTCCACCTTAGCCTTCCAAGTAGCTGGAGCCACAGGCATGCGCCACCATGCTTGACTGATTTTTTTTTTTTTTTTTTTGAGTTAGAGTCTCTCTCTGTCGCCCAGACTGGAGTGCAGTGGTACATTCATGGCCACCGCAGCCTCGAACTGATGAGCTCAGGCAATCTTTCTACCTCAGCCCTCCAAGTAGCTGGATTTATAGGCATGTGCCACCACATCCAGCTAATTTTTTGATTTATTGTAGAGATAAGGTCTCATCAAGTTGCCCAGGCTGGTCTTGAACCAGAGGGCTCTGGTAATCTTCTCTGCCTCTACCTCCCAAAGTGCTGGGATTACAGGTGTAAGCCACCACACCCGGCCTTATGTGATTTCTAAAAGTAGAGTCCACCCCATGAGCTCCCACAGCCCCTGCTGTAGAAACATGCCCTTCTGGGGTGCCCTCTGCCATCTTGTATACAAGTTAGTACTGCCAAGAGTACCCTTCCCCTACTCTGTCTGCTATATACTCCAGCTCAGATGTTATCTCCATGACAAACCTTTCTCCCCTCCCCCTCCCCTTCACCAACCCTGTCTCAGAGGTATCTTATCAGTTTCCATTGCAAAACCTTGGGCTCCAGGAAGGCAGCACAAATGTTCCTTCATCCAGCCTGCACAGGCTTGGTGACCAAGTAAGTGGCTGGGCAAAGACTCACCAGCTGAGCTGCCTGTCAGGATGTGGCTTGCTCTTACTGTGCACATTTGGGGAACTTACCCTATTATATCCAGAGACCTAGCTGGATCTATTATGTGTCATTCCAGAAATACTTCATTCATCAAACATTTATTTTGGCACACAGTTCAACAAGGTCAGGCACAGAGACCTACACAGGGAGGGAGGAGATCCTCACAGTTTAGAGCTTAGACTATGGGGTTAGACAGTTCTGGCTTGGAAGCCCTGTTTTTATAGGCTGTGGGTTTTAGGCAAATCACTGTCCTTTCCTGAACATGATTCACTATCAGTAAAATGGGGAGAACAATATCTGTCTCACTGGGAAGCTGTGAGGCCTAAATTAGATACTATATGCGAAGTGCATGGCATAGCACCTGGTATGCAATAGAAGTCCACTAAATGGTAGCTATTATTATTAATAATAAGTGTAGACAGAATGCAGAGATGAATGAATGTCTGGGCAACTTTCAGCCAAATGTGCATGATTAATTCTTATTCCCTCTCATCCTGACCCACATAAAACACACAAAAGATTTAAAGTAATCCATCAGCTGTTGCTAACTTCCTTTCACAATAAGAAATCTCACAGCCACCACAAAGGCTCCTTTATGACCCAGGCACAGGGATAAATTAATAACACCCCACTCTGCTTCTGGGTTACAAAAGCAAACTGCTCTCTGCTTGCCACATTCACCCCGTGGAAAAGGGAGGTGCTCCAGTGCTAGTGGCATGCAGAGAGGCATTTTTCCTGTGGTTGCCTGGACGATTCTGTCTCAACACCTTGCAAACAGCCTTATTTTGTACTCCTCTCCAAATCAAAGTGAGCCTTTGATTTCCTTGCAGTAGGACCAGGAGAGGGCTGAGCAATCAAACACTTTAGGTGGCCGCTCTTGGAAACTGGAGCTGTTTTTTAGCTCTGCCTCTGAGCAGACAGGCCTGGCCTTGGGGTCTGGGCCAGCCTGGTAAATTAATCCAGCAGAGGATTGTCAGTGTGCAGCAGTGCCTCGGCAGTGGGGGAGGGTAATTTTTAAAATTTTTTCCTAGAGATGAGGTTTTGCTATATTGCCCAGGCTGGTCTCAAACTCCTAACCTAAAGCAATTCTCCTGCCTCAGCCTCCCAAAGTGCTGGGACTACAGGTGTGAGTCACCACGCCTGGTCGCTCTATTTCTTAAGTAGTAGAAGTTATAAGGATACGTTTACTTTGCATAATTTGCTTATTTTGTATGTGTATTAGGCTTTAATAAAAAGAGAAATTATCTTTTTTTGGTGATAAGGATGGGATATGAAGGGAAATATTTTTTAAAACTCTTTGACAGAGATTATTTCAAATACATGCTTATCATTCTCATTCATAAGCCTCTATTTTCATCCTCAGAAATTTGCCTTTGGTAGCAACAAGAGGTACTCAGTGTCATACTTAGAGAGGGGAAATATCATAAAAAGAAAAATCTATTAACTGTTAAACAGATCAGTATTTTCTATGTATAATCTGCCAATTTGCTTTTGTCACAAATATCATCTTCTCTGAAGTGAAAAGTAATCCAATAAATTTCCAATCCTAAAAAGGTAGTAAATCTTTCAAATAAAATATTCTTATCTGTCTTAGGTTTATTTTATTTTATTTTATTTTATTTTATTTTTTTGAGTTGGAGTTTCACTCTGTCACCCAGACTGGAGTGCAGTGGCCACTCCCAACCACCGCAGCCTCTACCTACCGGGCTCCGGTGATCCTTCCACCTCAGCCTTCCGAGTAGCCGGAATTACAGGCATGCGCTACCATGCCCCGCTCATTTTTGATTTATTGTAGAGATGAGGTCTCGCCAAGTTGCCCAGGCGGGTCTCGAACTCGCGGGCTCAGGCAATCTACTCAACTCAGCCTCCCAAAGGCACGGGATTACAGGCTGAGCCACCGAGTCCGGCTGGTGTATTTTAGATGTTATGCTTCCTATCTAACTGTACTCCTTCTTAACATATAATTGTATAAAGATTTAACTATACTATCTTTATAAAATTTAGCATTGCTATAAAGAAAATGATTTGGCAAAATACAACTACAAAAATATTTTTACCTGCAAGAAGTCACTCTGCACACAAGGGCTAGGCAACTCTGTTGTCAAACAAGTGTCTGTCATGAAGTCCTCATGCTCAGTGCCATCTGGAAACTGACTGTATCCTAGCTGTAAGCTGTATCCTCTGACCATTACATCACTAGTAGCTGATCCTTTGACCTGATGCCCTTGAAACTCAACAAGCTACAGGTAAATTATTAAAAACAAGAACGGCATAAGTATACACTGACATATACGTGCACAATGTATTTACAGAGAATATAATACATAATTAATATTTTCATGAATTATTAGCTAATGTAAATAATTACCAGGGACTAATGCTGAAAATCAAGAAATATTCCTATTATACTAAAACATATGTTAAAGGTAACTAATTCAAAATGCATCAACTTAGCTGTATTCAAGTTTAACATCAAAAGGTATGATTGGCCGGGCTCAGTGGTTCAACCTGTAATCCCAGCACTTTGGGAAGCTGAGGTGAGTAGATCGCCTGAGTCCATGGATTCGAGACTACCCCAGGCACCTTGGTGAGACCTCGTCTCTACAAAAAAATCAAAAAAATCAGCCAGGTGTGGTAGCACACACCTGTAGTTCCAGCTACTTGTAAGGGTGAGGCAGAAGGATCAACAGAGCCCAGCAGGTCGATGCTGGGGTGGCTGTGAGTGTGCCACTGCACTCCAGCCTGGGCGGCAGAGTGAGACACCAACTCAAAAAAAAGGTATGATTTTCTTTTAATCACAAGCATAAGGATGAGTATTATAATAATAATGGCTAATTATGCCAGAAAGATTTAGTTGCTCCCTTCTCTATGCTTCCAGTATGTCTTACACAACTACACATTATACACCACATTATACAACACTGTACATGATCAACTTACAACTTCACACTACAATGAAGTTTCTCTCTATCTGCAAACTGACCGAACTATAAGCTCCTTGAGGGCACACCTCTGCTTCATCTGGTTATTACCTGTGTTTAACACAGCACTTGGCATACAGGAAGCAATCGATACACATGCTATAACAGAAAGGGAAGAAAGAGAAGGAAGGCAGGAAGTATTTTTCTCTGCTTTGGAGTTTTGTAAACTGTCAGGCTTAACTGCAAAATGGATGGTGAGCTCTCTGCCTCTCAATAAAAAGATCTAGTATCCTACTGCTCTGAGAGCAAAGGCCCAAGGATATAATTCCAGTGCAGACATGTACCTTGGAGAGGTTCTTTCACCACCTGAGACTCGGTCTGCTTTCAAGTTCAAATGGCTTTCTCTGCTGCCCCCTTGAGGGTTCTAGGAGTTTTACTCCTTACAGGGTAACAAAGCCTATGCAAAACGCGCTACTAGAGAGATAAAGGAATGAACATAAAGACTTAATTTATTTCTAACTGATAAATTAACAAAATTACACTAGAATATAATCTGGATAATATACTCTTATTCAAAAATGAAGATTTTATTTATTCATTTATTTATTTATTTATTTATTTTGAGTCAGAGTCTCACTCTGTAATCCAGGCTCGACCTACTGGACTCAGGCAATCCTTCTGCCTCAGTCTTCCAAGCAGCTGGAACTATGGGCCCACACTACCATGCCTGACTTTTTCTTTTTTTTACTGTAAAGACGAGGTCTCACCAAGTTGCCCAGACTGGTCTCGAACCCCTAGCTCAGGCAATCCTCTCACCTAGCCTCCCAAAGTGCTGGGATTATAGGCTTGTGCCACCATACCCAGCCCCAAAATGAAGATTTTAAATCACACATTTGAAAAGAAAATCAAATGTAAATGCCCCCTTATGAAGAATTTTGTTGAAAATAGTCTTCTAAATTTAAAAACATACACATGGGCAGTAAAACCAAGTCTCAGCTGTTGATGCTACCTATTTCTGCTTTGTTTGATGAGTAATATACATTCCCCAAAAGGAAACAGGTGCCCTGTCTTCTGTGCTTCCATGGAGATGTCTTCCAGAGGTGTCTTGGGTTTCAGGAGTGGAATTGCTACCTATTAAACTCAACCATTTATATGATATTGTCTTTGTCAGTGTTTGATGTGGAGTAGGTAGCACTACTTAGAGGTTAGGTTATATATACCTCTATATACTTAGTCAGTAGTAGAAGTGGTGAAGTTGACTATAAGTTAAAGGCTATAAGGTTCATTTTATTCTCCACAGAACAGTCATTAACTGTACTCTACCTGGTTTTGTGTCCAACCCCTATTGTACCCTATGTATGGATGGATACTGCATATCCTGCATTATTAGCTCATTAGAGAAAGTTCAAAACCAAAATGGCAGTAGCAGTCATTAAAGAGTCTTCTTGTTCTTAAAAACAGACTCATTTATTATGCTCATTAACCTTCTGCCTATGAAAACGCTGATACTTATTTAAAAAATAAAAAAAACAGCAGGAAAACACAGTTTGTTAGAAAATCAATGTTCTCCACCAGTTTTACCTTAGGGTCACAGGTTTGTCCCTCTATTTGTTTAGGAATAACAGCTAGAAAAGCAGTCTCTTCTTTACTTCCCAAGGAAAAGAACTAGGATAAAATATCAATAGGTTATCTAGTTATCTATTTGATAGAATACTTTTGCAAGTAGTTCAAGATTCTCATGGGAAGCCACTTGCAAAACTTAAAGGTAAGTTTGTCCTGTGAAAACATACCTCCTGTCTCCATCTTGCCTCTCTCTATACATACAGGCGACAAGCTATCCCTGGCAAAGGGGTGCCCTAGCAGATAAGTCACTATGATAATTAATTTAAAATCTCAACATATTAGAAAATTCTGATTCTAAGTTTTTAATTAAATCTTTTAACACTAGAAAAAATTGTTGCATACATAATAAATCACCTATCAAACCAAGTACTATGTTAATGTGGATTATTTTTAAAATTAGCAAAAAAATTAAAGGAAGAATTATAAACAGTAAAACAGTCTATTTAAAGAATGAATACTCTTCTAGCAATCGTAAAACATATGATATTGACAATAGCAACTAGTCATTTGAAGCTCATCAAGTAATAAATCAAATAACCATAATTTTGTATACAAGTTGGTCAGATTTAGGAAATGAATTCATTTACAGAAGCAATTTTTTTATATTTAAGAAATAAGTAGAGAAAATACTTTCTCAACAGAGAGAAATAGTGTATTTCTTCAAATAAAGGTCACTTTCCTTTAATAGCACTATATATGGTAAGGTAGTGTAATAACACTGTATGTAAGCACAACTGCCAACCAACAGTCTTGAAAATATTCAATTCATATTTTAGAATTTTCTAATATAGAGTTTTCAAAATCAATTAGCATAGTATCTCTCCTGGAACAGCTCCTTTGCAATGTATAGCTAACTATACCTACAGAAACAAGGCAGAGGCATCATTTAGAGTTTCTTCAAAGAGCACTCTAAATTGTGAAAGTTCCTTCTGTCAACAACATACATGAAAAGGTTGTTTCAGAGAGTTGTAATAAAAAAGAGTCTTTACAAAACTGCAAATATACTTCTACTTTAAAGCTACAAACAGATTTAAATAAAATTCATTGCAAAAAGTTGTAAGAACTTTTTCATTACTGTGGACTTTCAACAGATTGTTGTTGTTAATAAGATGGGGGTCTCACTATGTTGCCCAGGCTAGACTTGAACTCCAGGCTCAAGCAATCCCATCTCAGCCAAAGGAGTAGGTGGGATTAAAGGTGCGTATCACCACGTCTGGCTTTAACAGTTGTTTTGTTTGTTTGTTTTTAATGTGTGATGTTTAAGTACAACACATTCTGGGAGAAAATCAATGACAGCATTTATCTGCAGTCTTATACTTTGTGATAACTGTCCTTTAAAAAGTTTATATCTTGCCGGGCATAGTGGCTCAAGCTTGTAATCCCAGCACTTTGGGAGGTGGAGGTGAGAGGACTGCCTGAGCCCAAGGGCTTGAGACAAGCTTGGGCAACTTGGTGAGACTTCATCTCCACAATAAATAAAAAAATTAGCTGAGCATGGTGGTACGTGCCTGTAGTTCTAGCTACTTGGAAGGCTGAGGTAGAAGGATCGCCAGAGCCCAGTAGGCAGAGGCTGTGGTGGCCATGAGTGCGCCACAGCACTCCAGCCTGGGCAACAGAGTGAGATGCCTACTCAAAAAAAAAGTTTAAATCTGGCTGGTCGCAGTGGCTCACACCTGTAATCCCAGCACTTTGGGAGGCCAAGGTAGGATTGCTTGAGCCCCAGGAGTTAGAGATCAGCTTGGGTAACATAGTGAGACCTCATCTCTACAAAAAATAAAAAGTTAGTCAGGCATAGCAGTGCACGCCTGAGGCATAAGGATAACCTGAGCCCAGAAGGCTGAGGCTGCATAAGCCTTAACTATGCCACTGCACTCTAGCCTTAGCAACAGAGTGAGACTCCAACTTAAAAAACAAAACAAAAGTTTAAATCTTATTTTTTTCAAATGGAAAAAAAACCCAAGAATGCGATCATTTTTAAGCTAAATTATGCAATTACTAGTTTTTTAAGATTTTATACATTTGATCTTATTATATAAGGGTCAAAATGGCAAGTCACCATAACCTAGAAGTCTTTGTTATATTTTGTTCTGTTTTAGGGAACAGAGCTGCAAGGACAATTGTTGATGACAATTCGTGGGTTTGGTAATGCTTATAAGTTTTCAAAATTAGTTTTATCACACAAAAAAATTGTTATTTAACCAAACTATATTGATCATACAAGATATTTACATAAATGACAGCAGGATCATCTAAATGAGTAATGAACTACAAATGAATGTGAAAACTGACAATATATAATACAAACTTAAAATTATATACTATACCTTAATATACAAATATAATTTCTGGCTACTTTATATTTTAAAAAGATAATTCACCTGCAAAGACTGAAGTGGTTCACTTGATTCAACTTCATTTTCTTTTAGCATCTTAGGAATAGAATATTAATATAAGATGAGCCAAAAGGCAATAGTAATTTACAAAAGAAAATTATAAATTTCTATCACTAATAAGAGATAAAAACTAAGGCCAGGTGCAGTGACTCACGCCTGTAATCCCAGCACTTTGGGAGGCCAAGGCGAGAGGACTGCCTGAGCCCAGAGGCTTGAGACCAACCTGGGCAACTCGGCAAGACTTTTTGTCTACAATAAATTCTAAAAAATTAGATGGGCATGGTGGCATGCACCTGTAGTTCCAGCTACTCATAAGGCTGAGGTAGAAGGATCGCCTGAGCCCAGCATGTCAAGGCTGCGTGGCTGTGAGTGTGCCACACACTCCAGCCTGGGTGACAGAGTGAGACTCTGACTTAAAAAACAAACAAAAAAACTAAAATGTAGACAAAACAGCATTTTTACTCAGCAAGAATTTATCCAGCTCCTGGGTTCAAGCAATCCTCCCACCTCGGCATCAACTTAGCAAGAACTTAAAAAGCTCTTAACAGTACTAGTTAAAAATAAAGTAAAATAAATATTTTAATTGTAAAACATTAAGATTTTTAGATTTGACAATATCAAGAACCCAAGAAACTTGTTCCCAGCCTTTCAAGCAATTAGTTCCACTTCTGGGAATAAAATCTAAGGAAAAACTTAAAATGCAAACAATGATTTATTTTCAAAAGAATTGAATAAAGTGTTATTTATAATAGAAAAATGCTGGACATACTCTAAATGCCCAAAATAGGGAACTGTTTGTCCACATAGAATGTCATAGGAAGGAATAGTAACTTTTTTTTTTTTTTTTTTTTAGTTGGAGTCTCACCCTGTAGTCCAGGCTAGAGGACAGAGGCATGCTCATGGCCACTGCAGTCTCGACCCTCGACCTGCTATGAGGTCTCGCCAAGTTGGTCTCGAATCTGTGGACTCAGGCAATCCTCTCACCTCAGCCTCCCAAAGTGCTGGGATTATAGGCATGAACCACTGAGCATGGCTGACAGCAAGTAATTTTTAAAAGGTGTGTTTAAGGAGAGTTTTTAATAATGCAAGATAATACAATATGTTATTAAGGAGAAAGAATATAAAACTATACACATCAATCTCGCCATACTTTTTAAAATAGGCATGCACAAAAAGCTGGCAATGTTAATAATAATTACCTCTGAGAGGTAGGGTAAGTTTTCTTTTTTCTTCACTGTTTTTTGCTGTGAAAAAAGCAAAAGAAAAAATTAAAATTAAAAGAAAAAAAAGGACCAGTAATAACGTAAGACACAAAATGGGGGCAAATGAAACATTAACTTTCTTTTCTTCCAAACATGTCTATAGAAAGAATAGTGTCATGTAATGAAAGAACTGTCCCTCCAAAAGTGCTAACAGCATCCCCACTGAGAAATACTCGTCTATATGATTTATTTGGGAATTTCAACTCATCTTAATTAGTACTATTATTTTTTATATTTTTTAATATTGCTACCATGGTTCCCAAACTATGCAACAAGGTACTTAGGGGTGGCACAGTGAACTCACAGGAACTCCACAAGAGGTTTTAAACTTAAGGAAGCAGTGCAATTTGTTTGATGTAGTTCATCTGAATGAACTACTAACTCAAGGTAATTCAGTTTTAACATTAGATCTCACTACATTTCTTTCATTGACAAATATCTTTGTGAAGCTTGATTTTGAGAAATTGCTATGATAAAAAGCAATTATCAGCCGGGCTCGGTGGCTCAGCCTGTAATCCCATGCTTTGGGAGGCTGAGGTGAGTGGACTGCCTGAGCCCACGGATTCGAGACCCACCTGGGCAACTTGGCGAAACCTCATCTCTACAATAAATCAAAAAAATTAGCCATGGTAGCATGCGCCTGTAGTTCCAGCTACTTGGAAGGCTGAGGCGGAAGGATCGCTGGAGCCCAGCAGGTCAAGGCTGCAGTGGCTGGGACAGAGTGAGACTCCAACTCAAAAAAGAAAAAAAAAAGCAATTATCATGAGAAAATCAATGAAGGATAGGAAGTGAGGTGGTATTATATAATCTACTCCAAGGTTTGAAAAGTTGTCCAGTGTCCAACAGGGGTTCACATTTCAATACCAATTTGGTTTTTTTTAAAGAAAATGCTTACTAAATTACTAGGACATAAATACTTACTAGGTTGTTTAATACTACTAATTACTTAATACATGAAACTGTCAGGTATTTCTTTTGTCTATGGGATGCAATGAAAAAAATGACTGAGAATCCACCCTTTTTCCTCTGATCTACTTTCTAAATAAACTTTCTTTTCTAATCTAAAAAAAAAGAAAAGAAAAAAATTACTGAGACACAAGAGGGGTCATAAACCAAGATAGTTTGGAGCCCTTTGTATTACTATAGTTCTATTACAAACTAAAGAACATCATTTCAAAATAAAATACTGTTAAAAAAAATTTTTCTTAAGTACCTGTTGAAAATCCTGGTTCAGATGAGACTTCGGTATAGCTTGTGAAACTACTGTACTAGTAAATATTTTCCTAGCTGCAATGGAGAAAATCAAATGGTTTTATTCACTGCTATGTATAGTAGTGCCCTAAAAAATTTTTAACTTATTTCTAAAACTAAAAGAAAAATAAAGTCTTGGTAATTATTTAGTCTGGAGATGGGTATTTGAAGAATTATTGTATTCATCTCTCTGTGTAGATAGAAACATTTTCATGATAAAAATTTTAAAATAAGCCGGACTTGGTGGCTCAGCCTGTAATTCCGCGCTTTGGGAGGCTAGGGTGAGTGGATTGCCTGAGCCCGCGGGTTCGAGACCCGCCTGGACAGCAAGACCTCATCTCTACAATTAAAAAAAAAAATCAGCCGGGCGTGGTAGCGCGTGCCTGTAATTCCGGCTACTCGGAAGGCTGAGGCGGAAGGATCGCCGGAGCCCAGCAGGTCGAGGCTGCGGTGGCTGGGAGCGGCCACTGCACTCCAGTCTGGGTGACAGAGTGAGACTCAAACTCAAAAAAAAAAAGAAAAATTTTAAAATATTTAGGGGGCATACCTCATCAACAAGAGTACCTGCATAATGAACATTTGTATCCCTAACCCTGAATTGTACCCCACATCTTCAAAATAAAAAAATTAAAATAATAAAAACAAAATTTTTTTAAATATTTAGAATGAATGCCTTTTTGGTTACTGTCTAAGTCAACATTGGAATACAAGTTGAGAAATACATATTAAGCCAGTAGCTAATAACCTATATGAAAAATGCTAAAAATGAAGTATTGACCAATTTGGGGGAACAAGAAAGTCAAGACCACCATTATACTGCTGCTGTGTGCCAATGGGGGGAAAGCACTTAATGCTATTTCTAGTCTATCTCATATCCATTTTGATTATGTCTTGAGAAAAAAATTAATTTATTCATTCAGCAACATTTTCTAAATGCTGTGTTGCCAAATACTGGGGAAACAGCAGTGAACAGGACAAACAAATCCTATGAAAAGGGACACAAAAAACAAATAACTAAACCAGATATTCAGATTGTGATACAAAATGGTATCGTATCAAAGGATGATACATTAGAGAACTTTGAGACATGGTGATCAGGATATGGGAAGTAAAATTTAAGCTAGACTAAAGCACCAGTTATGCCAAGAATAAAAGTTTTCAAGTGAAAGACAGAACAAATACAAAAACTGAGGCGGAAAAGTTGGCAACCCTGCAGAATGGAAAGCAGAGAACAGGATGGCTAGTCATACCACCTTATCAGGTATTCATTTTAAAGTAAGTTTTTTTCTTAAAGCAAGTGCATATTCAATAATCTCTATTTCTTCTAAAGTCACAAGACTATAATTCTAAAGTGATTATTACTGTAAAAAAGTCATAGTTGGGCAACCCCCTTGGGTCCCCACCCACTGTGAGAGTTTTTCCGTCCTCTCAATAAATCCTATATTCTTAAAAACAGTCATAGCTATATCTGTTTTTGTGCGGTTTTTTCGTTTTTTGTTTTTGAGTTGAAGTCTCATTCTGTCACCCAGACTGGAGTGCAGTGGCATGCTCCTGGCCACCGCAGCCTCCACCTGCTGGGCTCCGGCGATCCTTCCACCTCAGCCTTCCAAGTAGCTGGAACTACAGGCACGCGCTACCACACCCGGATAATTTTTTGATTTATTGTAGAGATGATATCTCACCATGTTGCCCAGGCGGGTCTCGAACCCACGGGCTCAGGCAATCCACTCACCTCAGCCTCCCAAGCGTGGGATTACAGGCTGAGCCACCGAGCCCGGCTAGTAGCTATATCTGTTATAAACTTCATCTTTAGGCTATTGCTATGTTTCTGTTATTTTCCTGTTAAAATTCAGAATGAATTAAATGAAAGTAAAATTATTCTGGAACTTGATGTTATTTCTAAAAAGAATTGCTAAAAGACGCTGGATGAAAATTGATGTTTTCCTTTACTGCTCTAGAATAAAATTCTAAATTAACATTTCTGACTATATGCAATCATCTCACAAAAACGTTAGCAAACTGTAGATATTTTTAACATTTTCACAGATTCTAAGTTGCTAGTAAAATTTATTCTTCTCTGATTTTGTACTAAACTCCATAAAATGTTTTGTTGTATTCCAATATATTTAGTTTTCACAAATTGTCTCAAGAAAGACAACTTAGTCGTTTTTAGAGAAATACATTTATATCAAAAAACAAATAGTTGATTCTCATTATCCATGGATTCTGCCTACTCTCTACAGTTTATTTGTAACTCCCAAATCAATATTTGCTGTGCTGTTAGAGTCATTTGCAGATATGCATAGAGCAGCAAAAATTGCCTGAAGTGCATGTTCTCACTTATACGGGAACAACTGTCTTTTTCATGGTCTATTTAGTGCCACATTTTTGTGCTTTTTGTTGGTGATTTCACTATTTAAAATGTTCCTTAAGAATAGTGATGTCTAGGTTCCTAAGTACAAGAAGCCTGTGATATTCCTCGTGGAGAAAAAGCATGTGTTAGTAAGCTTTATCCAGACTGGAGTTATAGTGCTGTTGGTTTTAAGTTCAATGTTAATGAATCAACAAAATAAAATATGTATATTACATAAGGTGTCTTTAAACAGAAACACACATAAAACAAGATTATGTATTCATGAGTTGATGAAAATGTTCTGACCAGAGGCTTGCAGGATCTGACCCCTGTTAATTCTCCTAGAAGCAATGTTAATTATTTGCTAATTTTGTCTTTGCAATGACTTCTGCAAATAATGAACATAACTACTGCAAATAATGAGAATAAATTGTAATTCTTTTCAATTTGATGAGAGAAAAAGAATAGGTTTCTAAAACAAGATTCTATAGTTCCTAAATCTTCATATTAGAAATGTATATTCTGCTGGGCTCAGTGGATCAGCCTGTAATCCCGCGCCTTTGGGAGGCTGAGGTGAGTGGATTGCCTGAGCCCGCCAGTTCAAGACCCGCCTGGGCAGGCGAGACCTCATCTCTACAATAAATCAAAAAATTAGCCAGGCGTGGTAGCACGCACCTGTAATTCTGGCTACTCGGAAGGCTGAGGTGGAAGAATCGCCCGAGCCCAGCAGGTGGAGGCTGCGGTGGCCAGGAGTGGCCACTGCACTCCAGTCTGGGCAACAGAGTGAGACTCCAACTCAAAAAAAAAAAAAAGAAATGTATATTCTTATATGGCATGATATATCTACCCATACTGATTTTTATTAAAGCCTTTTACTTATTTTTAATTTTTAAAAATCTATAACAATTATCATCAAACTTAACTGCATTTCAAAAAATCACTTTACTAGGTATAATCATTTATTCATGTTTTTCTCAAGACCCTCTTGAGATATTCAAATAAAAGTTCAAATTTGATCTTTCTTTTGAGAGTATCACAGAGTGCATTGTTCATTTACATTCATATGTGTACATTACTTATCACTACATTTCTTAAAAAGGCAATGCTGTTGGCAATATTCCATAAGCAAAGTCAAAAGACCAATGATATATTTAAAGAAAATATTTGCAACATATATCACAAAAGGCTAATATCTCTAATATATAAAGGACTCATAAATCAAGGAGAATAAAAAACCAATACCTACTAAAAAACAGGACAAAAGGGTAGACAGAAGAGGCAGTTCATGGAAAAAAATATGAAAAAGATGTGTTTTTAAACATATGAAAAGATGCTCAATTTCACTTATAGTAATAAAATTACAAACTTTAAAGACACTAAAATTCCATTTCTCACATATTAGATTGGCAAAAACTCAAAAGCTTGGTAAAACACTCTATTGGCAAGGCTGTGGAGAAATAGCCACTCTTGTACATTACTGGTAGGAGTGAGAAATGGTGTAATTCCTATGGAGAAAACATTGAAGTATCTAACACATCTATTTACTATATATCCAGCAATCCTTTTAGAAATTTGCCTGGCCGGGCTCGGTGGCTCAACCTGTAATCCCGCGCTTTGGGAGGCCAAGGTGAGTGAATTGCCTGAGCCTGCAGATTCGAGACCCACCTGGGCAACTTGGCAAGACCTCATCTCTACAATAAATCAAAAAAATTAGCCGGGTGTGGTAGCATGCACCTGTAGTTCCAGCTACTTGGAAGGCTCAGGTGGAAGGATTACCAGAGCCCAGCAAGTCAAGGCTGCAGTGGCTGGGAACATGCCACTGCACTCCAGTCTGGGCGACAGAGTGAGACTCCGACTCAAAAAAAAAAAAAAAAGTAATTTGCCCCTGAAGATACATCCCCAACAATATGAAAACATCCATATAGTAAAATACTGGAAACAATGTAAATGTCCACACACAGGAGACTGGTTAAATAAATGATGGCACAGTACAATATTATAGAGTCATAAACAAATAAAATTGTGATTGCTATGAATTTACATGATGCGATTTCCAGGACATATTATTATGTAAAAACAAGCAAGGTGCTAAAGAGTATGAGTATGGTACCTTATGTTGAATAAGGAGAAATAAGAATTTAAATATAGAGCTATTTATTTCTACTAAAAGAAAGATAGGTATGGCATACTATACTGGTTCCCTAGAGCAACAGGTGGGTAGGAATGGCATGGAGGCATAACAAAGGAATCTGAGTCTATGTTTTTATATAGCTTTGACTTTGACTTTTGAACTTGGTTAATCTATTACATTTTCAGAAATAAAAATAAATCAAGGATAGACAAAGCCCTCATACAGAATATGAACAATGAACTTAACTATATTTATACAAAACGAGAGCATAATCATGCTAATGAAAAAGTAACTCAAGCCGGGCTTGGTGGCTCAGCCTGTAATCCCACGCCTTTGGGAGGCTGAGGTGAGTGGATTGCCTGAGCCCGTGGGTTCAAGATCCGCCTGGGAAACTTGGCGAGACCTCATCTCTACAATAAATCAAAAAATAAGCTGGGCATGGTAGCGCACTCCTATAATTCCAGCTACTTGGAAGGCTAAGGCAGAAGGATCGCCGGAGCCCAGCAGGTTGTGTGGCTGTGGTGGCTGGGAGCGGCCACTGCACTCCAGTCTGGGTGACAGAGTGAGACTCCAACTCAAAAAAAAAAAGAAAAAGTAACTCAAGTAATTTCTAAACCAGTATTCTAACCCTAGACTTTCAATAGTATATAGTCTAAAAACAAAATTGTGAAGTATATATGAATTTTATAAATTTGTAAGGGCTTTTTGATAGAAGTAATATTGGTGTGACAAGTGTATATTGTAGAAGTGAGTAAATATACTGATGCTGGGAATCAAAATCCTTTCACACTGTGAGAGTATAGAGACACAATTATGGAATGTAGGAAAGAGAAGAACCCTGTGGTACAGCACTGAAATTAGAGGAATCAATGTGGACTCATGTTTTAAAAAAAAAATCTCCTAGCACAAGTCCAAAAACAGCAGATTATGACACATGCACATACAAATATACATACATAAATGTTTATACACATAAATGTTTTTATATATTTGCTTAAATGTGCCAATATATGCTTATGTATGCACAGAATGCCCTAGAAGGAAACCATGGCTAATTCTGAGGAGTGAACTGAAGAACTGTGATAGGAAGGAGACTTTTCACTATAGTATCCTCTATCAGAACTGGTTGTACCAAGTACGTGTGTATTAACTAGTTAAACATTATGTAATTCTGTAACGTAGCAGCCAGAGCAAGCATCACCTCTTCTGAGCTGTAAAGAAAACAATCCAAAACAGACATGCCATTCTAACCTTCAAGACTGCTATCCGGCTCATATTTCTGTTGAGTTCCTTGTTGAAAGACGGTATTTTTCTTTTTCAATGTTTCCAAGCTGTCTAAAGCCGTACTATGTTCAGACAGTGACTTTAAAAGGGAAATGTTATTTACTAATCCAGAAAGTTCTGGAGAATTTCTAGGATTATTCCTGGATTGTTTGCCTTTTCTGGCAATTTCAACTTCAATATGGTCAGGGGGTAAACCTCTAATCCTTCTCAAATCCTCAGATTCTGGTATATATGCTTCTGTGCCCTTAGAGATAAGAGGCTTTTTCCCTAGGGAATAAAACAAGGAATTGGAAATTTGGGCATTTGATTGATCAAGTGCAATACACTCAGAGTAATTTTGATTGGTATTTAATAGTTGGATACTGTTGACACTGCTAGAGGCTAATGGTAAAACATGTTCATCATCTCTGCCTAAGTCACTTTCCAAAATAAAAGACTGATGTTGAACATCTTCTGAAAATAGGTTATTGTTTTCAGGAGTCTGATTATGAATATGAGTAATATGTAAATTCGTGTTTATACCTTTAGATTTACTCAAGAGTAAAGCAAGATCATAGTTAATTCCGTCTTGTTGGTTAGATTTATTAGCATCTTCTTTATTATCTATGTATTCCTCACTAGTCCACGCTAAAGATGAGTCAAAAATGCTTAATGTGTCACTACACTCCTCCTCTATTTCTTTTCCAGTGTTTTCAGCTTTACAAGATTCCATGTTAAAACCCACATAAGTTTGATCACAAAACTGTGACGGCAGAGTCTCTTTAATAGGAAATGTCTCTGTTGGTTTACCACCAATAGATGTTAAGAGTGGCAAACATCCACTGCCAATTTCTTGACCGTTTATATTCTCACACCTCTTCTGAACACATGAATTGCCATCATTGACCAAAAGGTCCTTTACCCAACTCTCTGAATTCTGGAAAATTTTGTTGCTTCCCTGTGATTCCTCCTCAGCATCACTGGTCTCAAAATTGCTCAGATTAAAAGTTACCTCCAAAAATGGTGTTACATTACATTGAGATTCATGAATACTATTAAGACTTTCATTATCAGTATTACTTTTAGAAAACATGTCTGTGATGTCATCAGAGATCCTAGAATTGTTACTTTGAGAAGATTCAATCATCTGAAAATGTTCTGATTCTGGCAGTAACGACACCAGTTGTTTATAATCTTTTTCTGATGTTCCACATGTATTCACTTCCTGATCGTTTTCCCTAATTAGAACTGATCCTTTAATGCAAACCTTGTCCTTTTGATTATAAGGTATTTTATTATGTTCTTGAATGTCAGATTCTAATAATAAACCATCATTTTCTTTATTGCTACTGGCAACCTGTAAGCTGTTGCTTTCATAAATTGAAGGAATTTCTAACTCTACTTCCTGATTCCAGGATTGATCATTATTATCAACTGGCTTGTCTATATTATACTTTTTCTCCTTTTCAGCAAATGTTTCAAAGCTCTGTATTCTTTTTTGAACCAAAAGGTCTTTTAAATTCAAATTTATATACTCTTCCTGGGTCTTAGGTTTCCTTTCTACATCATTGCCATCTATAATGGAATGTATAGGTGAACTTGGTGAGGATAAATACGCGGCCCATCGGCTTTTATTTCTTATGGTATTCTCTGGTTGAGGCTGGTAGTGTACATTTTCTGTGCTCTTCACCTCACCACATTCTTCCTGTTGAATTAGGCATTTTGGATGAGTAGAAAGTTTTAAACTTCCTTGTGGTTGTATTTGAGGAAAATGTTCTGTAATCTCAGAATTTAGCTCCTTACATGTATTAGTTGATTGGGACTTCAGAAGAGCTAATATCTGTGCTTTGCTTCTGATGTTTTGTGAAATTCCTGAATAGTGAGATGCTAGAGTACCTCTTTTCACAGACTCACTGGTCAGCAAAGAGTCTGAATTCTCACTTCCGGAATTGATAGGAGTGCAAAAATAATTTCCTTCACATAGCATTTCTGGGTTATTCTTGAAGGATGGAGTAGAAACAACTGAAGAAAAAGGCATGGCATTTCTCTCCCTGTTCTTGTAAGTCACAATGTTCTCAGAGTCTGTTGGCATATTATTTATATCTTTCTCGCCAACAGTAGAAAACAGAGGAGATGTCCTAGAGAATGGAGGAAAAAAGGTAGGGCCAGGTTTCTTAGCCTCAAATGATGCATCTGAGTCACCATTTTCCGTAATAACCAATTTCTTTGGAATCTGACGTGGTCCTTGAAAACCCTAAAAATATTAAAACAATGATTAGCTATACTATTACCTGTGAAGAAAATGTGAAATGAACTGGCTAAGAAAAAAAAAAGAATAAAAAATGTGTGTGCTTTGCCTGAGGTAAAGTAATAATCAAAATGTAAAATTTGCTAAATTAAAATATATCCATTTAAAATAAGAGTTTTTTTTAATTAAGGTATTTCCTTTCTACATAAGTATACTATGAAGTGCCATTTTAATGACAAAGTACAATAGCTTCAAAATTCACTTTTTATAACAATTTTATAAATATATGTTAATGCATTATTTTCCACAAAAAAACTTACAGTAAACTTCCTTTTTAAGCCAGCAGGTTGACATCCAAGAGACCGGCCAGTGGATATAATTGTCCTTGAATTTAACTCTGGTGCTTCTTTAATGACATCCTGTTTAATAGCTATGGATCCTGCAACTTTAGCCTCTTCAATTGTGATTAAGTATCGATCACTTTCTAAGTCATCTCCAGGTTTCACCTAAAATTAAAAGAATATATATATATTCTTTTATATATACTATATACACTCATATATATCTAATTATTTTCATTATCTATGTATTCCAGTATGCTCACTAACACTAAGCAAGACAAAATGAATGTTCAATAAATAGTTGTTGAATAAATAAATCAGTAACTAAATTCTTCAGTTATTTATTATTATGCACTAGTTATCTATCAATAAGCACAAAAAAGGATAATACAATAATTCCCATAATACAATAAAAAACTTTCACTAATTTGTTCATCTAACAATACACATTGGGGACCTATATGAGACACCACCCCACATGCTGAGGATACAAAGACAAATAAGAAAAAAATGCCTCTTCTCAAGGAATTAACACAGAATCCATACAACTAAATGTAATTCTTTAAATCAGAGATATTATCAATTATATAACTTTAAATGAAAATAAATGAGACACATATTCAGCATTATCACAAATTAAGCATTATTATTAATTACTGCAGTTGCTTAATTATTATAAAATGCATTTTAATATTTTAATTTTTAAATAATTCTTTATTTTTAATACTTTAATTCAATCAAATATAGCACTTGACACCACCTGACTGCAGCATAAAAATAAGATGACTAACCTAGTTTGAAAATACACAAAATCCGTATCAGATTAATATTTCATTAATAAAATGATTTAGGATGAAATAATAACAGTAGTTACCACCAACTACACAACTATTAAGATAATGATTCTCCTAGACCTTTTGCAAATATGAAAGTACTACAATCACTATTAACAAAATTTCTTTTTTTTTTTTGAGTTGGAGTCTCACTCTGTCGCCCAGACTGGAGTGCAGTGGTGGCTCCCGGCCACCGCAGCCTCGACCTGCTGGGCTCCGGTGATCCATCCGCTTCAGACTTCCAAGTAGCTGAAACTACAGGCGCGCGCTACCACACCCGGCTAATTTTTTTTTTTTTTTTTTTATTGTAGAGATGAGGTCTCGCCAAGTTGCTCAGGCAGGTCTTGAACCCA